CATTAAGCAATGCCGAGTGATGTCTTTTTAATTTTGGTTTCATCATACAATATGATGTATAATTGCGTAAAAATCTATGGAGAAAGTGTATACAATGTTTTACAGCTTGATTAAATACAATTGATTTCGTACGAAGCCAAAAAAAAAGAAATCCGACGAATGTGAAGACAGGCAAAAAGAATGATAAAAATCCATTTTTTAATACGATTAAAAATAGTACGTAATGAGAACAATTTTATAGCTAATGAAAATAATTTTTGATAAAATACTATCAATAAAAGATACTTTATCAGCTCAACAAAGTCGTGAAAGACTTTCTAAGATTTCACGATGTCTCTTTCAACTTATACATTTATTAATGAATGTCAATCTCGATGCTGGTCTAATGGTAAACCTGTTAATAGTCTTCTTCTTAGGGGTAAACAAACGTATTTACATCCTTTTAAATGCATTTAGATGCATGTAAAATGACGATATCTCAAAGGCATTGAAAAAAATGACGAAAAAATAATTTGGATAAAGACTGATGGAATGAGTCTTTGATTCGATAAAAAAACAAAATTTCCATTCGAATCTAAAGCAATTTTTAGTCCACATTGTGGAGCACAGAAATAAATTTATACCTATCTAACAATGAATTTGAAATTTTTAGTAATCATTTTACGGCAAACCATTACAAGTCATTAATGTACTTATGAGAACTCCAAATGCACTGTTGAATGTAAATATTTTTACTTCTATCTTTCAAAACGCGGATGTGTCTTTTTTCCTTACAACTAGGAAAATAAATTTTCTCGGTGAGACAGACAATTTTTAAAAATAATTATACTTCCTCAGTTTAAAATAATAAAGCCTAATCCTGGGTCATGGGTACTTATTTGATGCCAGCCACGTGATAACTGGACTTGTTAAAGCACTACAATGGTTTCAATTATTTACTACAGATATATCTACTTTGCATAATAAGTCAAAAAAATATTGAATTACACTAGTCATAAATCCTCCAATGAATGAAACTAATAAGATATTACAAATTTTCGATGATATAAACAAAATCAGGCATCAAAGAAAATAAAATTAAAAAATATTGATTCTGACCATCCACAATTACATCCGTATAATATTAATAAACTTTTTATTTTAATCTTTATTTATAGTTTCCATAAAACTCCATTTTGACATTGAAAACAAAATATAGGCCGATTTTGATACTAGGCGAATTTATTGATAAAATAATTTTATAATAAATTATTTGCAACTTTGATTATAATTATCCAATAATGAGGTTAATTTCTGATAGAAAAATAATTATAATGTAAGCCAATATTCATTTACAATAATTAGATTACAAAATATTACATAAATAGAATCCGATTAAAACGATGACTACGATTATCGTTAGATAACGAACTACTCTGCTGAAACAATCTTATTGGAAGAAGAAAGTTTAATCGGAAAATTGCATCGGAAATTTTCTATTAAATCGTATTGAAGGTTTTTTTCCTGTAGAAAGCGCCTAAATCCTATTCAGTTGTCCTATTGAAGAACGCTGAATCTTATTCAATTTCCCAATAGGGTTTAATACTGTTCAATAGGAATATTATTGTCTCAGAATTTCTTATAGAATAATACAGAATCCTATTCGATTCTTCAACAGGATTTTAGTGAATGTAATAGAACTTGAGAGATAACAATTTTCTTATTAAAAATAGGCAATTCCTTTTCAATGCTTTAATAGGGTTTGATATCATTCAATAGAAATATTATCGTCTCAGAATTTACTATAGAATCATTAGGACTAAATGTAATTTCATAGGATTTTCAAATGTAACGGGGTCGACTTTTGATGAAAAAATAATTAGATTGAAAAGGAAAATATGATCTCATTACGATATTCCCTATTAGACTTTCGCTTTCCAATTGAGATAACGCTTAGAACAAAAGAAAAGGCTATTTACTATTGGATATTGTAGGAGTTTAACCTATTTAATAATGCTGAATTCTATTGCAGCATTCAGAAACAAAGAAAAATGTTTTTAGTCGTATTATCTTATTCAATCGACCAGTTTTCTATTTGAATGTTTTTTTATATCCTGTAGAAACTACTCGTTTCCTAAAGAATTTCTAACTATCTTTAAGAATCATCATAATTCTATTCAGCTATGTTTATAGAAAAATTCTGAATTCTATAGATTTTACGATCACCATTTATATACCTATTCAGATTTGTATAATCCTCTTAGACTCTTTCCGGTTGGCAGAAATTATTCAAATTAAAAAATACTTATTTATCTATATACATCGAAACATAGTTGAAGCACCAATAGTTCGAAAGCGACATAAATTGTTCATTTAATTAATTTTTTCTTAACATTGTACTATTATCATTTATATTTTTTGTCATTTTTAGTACTTACAATTTAACTTTTAACTCTTACAAATACTTTTCTCACCCACCGACATTTAAATTAGATTACTCATTTACTTTGCAACAGAAAAGTGTCTCATGTTAATTATTATTAATGTCAAAACAGGATCGATAATACTTAACCATTGTTTATGATACTTAATTATTAACTAAAGGCAATTAGTTGTAATTTCTTTTATTTTATGTCTACATAGACTACAGCCATGTGCATCTTGACACATTTCAAAAGTTCTTAATTCTGAGATATTTACATTGATAATTTAACAGCAACAGTTCTGATTAATCCTGTCTGATTAGGTCCCAGGTGGGTAGTAGTCCTGAGATCTCTGACCTGACGTATTCGACAAATCGCAAGATGCTAAACAATTATGATGATTAATTTTAAAAACAAAAAGAATCTTTTCGTTCTTCCCACTAAAAAGTTAATTATGTGGGTCTTTCAGGTTGCACTTAGACTATCAAAGAGCAGATTTCTATTTACCAATTTATGACCGCACATATATTAGTCTGCTCTGAACATTCGATTTTTAAATGTGGCAGTTTTCATTTCGCTGTATACTTTCTATTTTTGCATGTGCCATTCTTAAAATCCAATAACACATCTACAGAAACGAAAAAAATGTAGCTGCGTCTCATTAAACTTTTTATTACTGACTTTTTACAGTGAAAGGATCGCCAACCCAAATAGGAACCTCAACCTCTCTCTAATTTCTGAATACTCATTTCGGTACTCATGGCTCAATTTTGACGAATAGCAAACAAAAAATAAATAGTTATAAAGAAGCCGTTGATGTACATATGGATTGAATAAAGTTGGTTGAAAAACTTCGCACAATGAGTGAATATTCCATCCATGTACAACTATTGTGCTTGAAAGAACATTAGAAAATTGAATTTACATGAAAAAAAAAACAATTCCAGCATTCAAATCAACTTAGCTTATGAATCTCTCGCCAAAAATGATCGTATTCTACCGAGGAAAGATGTTTATTCTCTAATTGACAAGGTAACTGAAGACAATCTTTTTCCTGTTACTTCAATGAATCTTTTCTCAAAATATTTATTAAGTGCATCTGCCATTCACTGCACTTGTGCGCACATAAGATATGTGAAGTTCTTTCTCGAAAATATGAAGATTCAGCAAAAAATATACCCAATGAGTTTATAGTAAATTCTAAACGGTAGCGCAAATTTCAAGATCCACAAAATGTTTTACCCTGCACATATTTGATGGCTTTCATTGAACTATAAAATATGTGTATATCTCCATCTATGATTTAGTTAACTAACGACAGTTTATTAGTTGACGAAGTTTGCTTGACGATTAGATTGTTTATAGCAACGAGAAAAGATATTTATCACCAGTAGGGATGGGCGATATTGAAAAAAAATATCGATATCCGACAATCGATATTTCTCATCAATGGTTATCGATGTATCGATATTTTTTAAAAAATATCGATACATCGATATCAAAGTCATAAGCGGGATAATTTAAATTGAAGATTTTAGTGACCTCCGGTGGAGCTCTAAAAAAGATATTTAATTGTTTTTAAAGTTGATTTGAAAGTTTTAGGGAATTAGTTCAATCATCTTTTCGTTTGTTAATTATAATTAATTAGGATAATGAACTGTTATGCATCAAGTAAGTACTTGAATTCTATTCATAAGTTTTATTATTGGATTATATCTGTAGATTTACTATGTAAAATTATTGTTATATTTATACATCACTTACAATAATCCTTCATAACCTAACTTTCTCAATTTTTGTTGTTTTTAATCTTTTTGATATTATTTGCAGAACCCTCGTCAGAAATAACATTTAGTTTACATTTTTCAATCAATCATGAATCTTCGTGGATCTTCTTGATATAGAGTTTCTAACCCTCTATCATCTTTATCTATACTGAACATGATGGTTTTTCACTTTTTTTAATAATAAATTAATTAATAAATAATTAATAAACGCGTGAGACCTGATATTGAACATGTGACTACTAATGGCTTTTGGTTAGTTATTTAAAATACCACGAGAGGTCTCTACATGGTCGGTATTACGAGAAAAAATATCGACCATCGATGTATCGTCTATGAAAAATATCGAATAAAAAGACTCGATATTAGAAAAAATTTATCGATATTTCGATACATCGACAAATATCGCCCATCCTTAATCACCAGTTTACGACTAAGACTTAAGTTGATCAGATATTTTACAGAACATTGTAGTATATCAAGTAAAAAATTAATGGAAAGCACTACAATAATATTTTACAAACAAGTTACTTTCAAAAAGAAGAAATTCTGAGAGATATTTTTTTGTCAATTTCACACTGCAAATATTTCTGATAATATTTGAAATTTTAAAAACGTAATACGAAAATTTGTCAGTATTGCACTGTAATTTTCTTCACAGCCTAAATAAGTTATCCATACTAATTAAAAAATTTAATCTCATACGAAATTTCCGCGTAAATCTAAAGTATCTTTCTCATATCTACATGAAAATATTAAAAACACGGAACCAATCAGCCTTCATCTTAAAAGATAAAATATCTATCTAATTTACCTGTCAACACAGCTCCGACAAACATGAAGAGGAAACCAAATGCTGGTAGAGCTATTTGACAGTTAGCTGCAATAACTACTCCTGCAACCATTAATCCTCCTTCGATTTTTTCCACTCGTAACCGTGAAATTGATGATGAACATTTCAATTTTCCTCCTAGTCCTTCAGTCAAGCTATCGGTTAATGTTGTTTCTTCTCCTAACACTATACTGGGCCTGAAATTAGAAAAGTAATTTTTAAATAAATAGATATCGAAAAGAATAGAATCTTGAGAGTTTTCTTGCAAACAACTTCCCGATAACCAACCAGAATTTACAAGAAGGATGCTTTAAAAATTATATTAATTAATAATTATCCGAACTTGCACATTCAACTCGAAATCGATGGTGGATGATTCAACGACGATCACAGCAGTTCTGGTACAGGTGGTCACAATCTTATTTACTAAAGTTACAAGCCATTTCTAAGTGATTTCTCAGAAACAGGACAATTCAAGTTGGTGCATTAGCCTTGCTAACACACAAACAATTTCCTTATACGAGATGACCATTCGTATAAATCATTTAATTGTACCCAGATCAAGATGGACTTCCACGAGTCGCAACGGTTAAGACACTAACAACAACTCTTATCAGACCCATCATCAGGATAGCCATTTTTCGAACCTATCCAACACATGGAGCCCAGCAGCAAGATTCATCGAAGGACAATCATCAACCAGTTTCTGATGGCGAGCGGAATGTTGAAAATTATTCAATTCTCAATTTGAGCAAACAGCTGAGAGGAACTTGGGTGGCCATCTTGACACTGGCTCGATAACCAATTGGGCAGACAATTGATAAATTTTCAAATTCTAGTTACTCAATTGACTAAAGTCAAGTTTGAACAGCGAAGTTCCTGTCGCCATTCTTTTTTCGTTCTCTATGCCGAAAGGAGCTTTCCTGATCCAAAGAAAAGAGATCAGAGGAAGGCAACTAGGATATGGACGACAGACTTTTTACAAATCAATTGAGCCAATTGATACTGTAAATTAAAGAATGAGAAAATTCAGTAGTAAACGCTTAATTTTTAAAATATTGAATTTTTATATTATAAGTAAATAACCGATTCGGTTAAGCTCTAAAGGCGAGCGTAAGTGTGGAACACCTATGTGGCAGTAAAGATCTGTTCGAACATCTTGGTAGAACAAAGGTTGCACTGTTATTTTTGGATTAAACAGTTGCTAATTGAATAACTACAATATTAATATATCAATGTTCTGCAGTAGTCCGGGTGTGACTCGAAAACTAGTTTACCATTTTTTTCAGTCAAACGAAAGTCGCGTTATTGTCTTTTAACGCTTCTATCTATCTCTGTCCATAAAGTTTATTTAAAAAAACGTACATATTACGAGAGACAAACTTTTCAACAACTGTTGATCGTATTAGTTAAATTTGTCACGTTGCCAAGAAAATCGCATAAAATGTATGGGTAATATTAATGCACTATTATATCGAATATATTGGATTCACGGAGAGGAAAAGATAGTAAATTTTACTCTAATAAACAGTAGCCTAACGTTTCGGGTATAAAAATGACAATAAACAATTATTTCATTGGTATACATTACATACAATTTTTTCTTATAAAAGTTTATTATGATCAAAATTGTAAACTATACAAAAATAAATATAAAATATTACCAGCCTCAATGTGGCACTTGAAAGAGAAGGTTGTACCCGTATGGTCAACGAGTAAGCTCAAAGTGTCAACAAGAGAATCTTACCAAAGCGAGTGTAGTGCTCAAGTTTTGTGCGTATATAAGTGCAGGTAAGTCAGGTAGAAGTGTTTTTTGGGTACTTCTCCACAAAAGAGAAGATCTGTAACAATAAAAATGGCGAATGCCGAAAAAATTGTCACAAGCAACAACAGAATTTTCGCGTCAGTTATGAGTTTTCTCTCCAGAGAACAGGCAATAATTATTGAAGCTGTGGATCAAGTACCAATCATTGAATATGGAAAAGAAATAGGAAGTAAAATAGGTCCAACGGAGGTACGTTTCATATCAAAAATATCAAACAATAGAACCTGTATTTATGTTTCAAGTAAACAATTGGCTGAAGATCTCGTTGACAAATACAAATATATCACAATCGAAGGAAAGAATCTACCAATCAGACCACTAAACTCTCATACTAAAAGGATTATCCTTTCAAACATTCAACCACGTATAACTCATTAGATTATTGAAGATACACTATCCAAACAGTGCAAAATTCAACTAGTATCACTTATATCCTTTATACAAGCTGGAATAACAGACAGTGCGTACGCACACTGTTACAGTTTTAGAAGACAAGTATATGTTAAACCAAAAGATATAAATAATATTCCCAACGCTATACAAATAAACTGTGATGAAACCAACTACTAGATATACCTTTCAAGTGATCAAATAAAATGCTTTATTTGCAATGAGACTGGACACCAAGCGAGAAACTGCTTAGAAGGTATGGATAGCAACCAACAGAATGATAACCCGGTAGATGATGGCCTTACTCAAGACAACCCAAATATAAATGTTCAAGACCCAAAACAATGGTTCGAACTAACAGCAAAAAAACAACAAGCATTACAAAGCACTGCAGTGAAAAACACAACCAATGAACCTTCCTTTTTAACTAGACTAACACCAACTGAAAGGCTGCGTTCAGAAGCAAGTACAACAGATTCAGGCTCAATTCAAAGTACAGGTTTTACACCGCTACTTGCAACTGGTGACAACGATGTAAGTAAACACACACAAAAAAAATAGCAACACAAAAAAGTACTGCAACAACCAATCAACTGAATCAGTCTGCAGTTCAATAGCATCAGATACTAGTATAATGAAGGCATGATAACCTATCATTACAATGGCAGGTCATGCAAGCAATAGAGATGCAAGCATGACCGAATTGGTCATTTATGACCGTCATGTCATGGTCATAAGACCGTCAGCTGACCATCACTAAGATGACCGACCACTGGGTTAGTCGCGACATCTAACGGATAATTGTATGACACTCTAGTAGCCTTCATCCATTCTATCGACAATTATTTATATTTTAAATTGTAATGTAACATAACGCGAGGTATGTAAATAAAACAATATTAGAGATTTAATATATCAATAAGCTTAAAAAATAGATCTTTTAATTATAAATTATTCTAAAACTATTGGTATTGAATATAAATAAGTTGATTTTCTTATTGCACAGTCAAGTCGTTTTTTTTTTTCAGATAATTGAGATTATAACCTCTTTAATACTGTGATTTTTTTATGTATTTCAGAATAATGACTCGTTCTAAAAGCTTCAATTTAAATGCTTATTTTACTGTTATAACTACTGATCCTGGTAAGAAATTAAAAACATATAAATGCAAATACTGTACAAAACAGTATGCATGGCATTTTACACGAATGATAAAGCACCTGAGGACAGACTGTAAAGGTACTCCAAAAAGTATCAAAAACAAACTTGAAAGACTTATTAATATGAAATCCAAAGTTAATATTCAAGTAGAAAATTTCGAGAATACTGATGAAGAGAACATTTTAATAGAATATGAAGATAAAACGAGAAATAAATCTGGAGATGAAACTGATCATAATGGTAATGACAGAATTCAACATCAACCACATAGATAAATAAAGAATTTTTATGATCAAATGACTCGAGATCAATTTGTTGAGTGTCAAAAAAAAATGTGTCGTACTATATATTCATCGGGAATGCTCTTACATATGGTCTCAAATATGTATTGGAAAAATTTTTTCAAGAATCTTCGTCCTGCTTCTTCGATGCCATCGAAAGATCAAATTTCTAACAAATACTTAAATGAATGAATAATGCAGTTTATGGAAAAACAATGGAAAACCTCGAAAGTAAGATGTAAAGTTAGTTGCACAGTGGGAAGGTCGGTATGGTGCAAAAAATCTCATTGCCTCTCCAAAATTTCACAATAGTATAATTTTTGACAATGACATGGTAACAATAGAAATGAAGCAAATAAAAAAAATTTCAATAAGCCGATATACGTAGGATTTGTAGATTTAGATCTTTTAAAAATGTTTATTTATGATTTTCATTACAATTTTATTAATATCAGTGCTCTGCAGTGGTCTGGGTGCGACCCGAAAGGTCCACACGACCAACTTCCCAGTGGAAAAAATGAAAAAACAATTCGAATAGAACACGTTTCCATTCTTTATAACAAATGGAATTGTTATAAACAAAATTAGTCTGTTTTTATTCATTTGATATGGTTAGTTACTTTATTTCAGTAAAAGAAAAAATAGTGCGTTAGAAGAATTCGAATATAGAAAAAAAAGTATGTTTTCATTTATGTCATACGGTTGGTAACATTTTTTTAGTAAAAGAAAAAATTATGCGTTAAAAGTACTCATATATATATATATAGAAAGGGTCCCCATTTTTTTTGTTTACAACCATTTAAAACTTATTATTTAAATATTACTATGATCAATAATCACTTGTTATAAACACAATTCCATATTATTGACAATTATTATTGACTATTATAGCGTCTTTAATGCTGTTCTCTCAATCCTGACACGAGTTTAAAATTCTTTCATTGCTGATTTTGTTTTTTGAAATTTTTTTTTTCGATGAAATATTGTCACCATATTTTCATACAAGTATTCTAATTATTCAATATTCATGTTTTTTTAAAGATTTCGAAATTTTGTCTAAAAAGTAGTATAATTTATAAATTGAGAAATTCAGGTCATTTTCCATTTTTGCTGGTTTTTTGGTTCTGCAAAAAAAAATGGCTGGACCGATTTTGCTGAAAAATTTTTCAGTTCTAAGTTACGTAATTACGCGTCGAATGCAATTGGTCCCACATCGATATCATTTTTTGTTCTCGAGATAATCGAGGCAAAAAATAATTCCGAACGCACATACGTACATACACACACAGACGTCCACTGGAAAACGGTCGTATTCGACTCTGGGGACCTTAAAACGTAAAATTGCTGAAAAGATTTTATCGTTATCAGCTACCTCTGCAGCAACGGAACGTAGCGTTAGTACTCAAGGTTGGAATCATGATAAAAACGGAATAGACTGACTAATGTTCGTGCTAGTAAAATTACATATATAGCATATAACGAAAGATTATTTAATAATAAAAAAAATATGTACCTGAACTAGAGGATTCAGAAGATTCT